AGGTAACAGGTTTGATTCCGGTCAAGAGCATGTACCTTGGTTGCAGGCACATCCCCAGTGGGGTGTGTGCAGGGGGCAGCTGATCAATGTTTCTCATCAATGTTTCTAACTCTCTATCGCTCTCTCTTCCTCTCTGCAAAAAAATCAATATATATATATAGATATTAAAAAGTTTAGAATCTAATCTGGAGGGAAAATGCAAATTGACATCACACCTTAATGACCAAGATGGCTGCGCCCACAGCTGAGGCAGGGATTCTGTACCACAAGGTGTTTCTGTCCACAGCCAAGGCTTAATGAGCCTTAATGAGCGATCAGCAGGGACCTGAGGATGCGCTCTCCCCCCCCCTCCCCCCCCCCCCCGCCTTGGTGAGGCTTGACAAGGGTGTGGCCAGCAGAGTGTCTATCTCGCCCAATTGGGTGGGGCAGGCTGGGGCTGGGTCTCCTGCAATTTTGATACATGTCTTGGGATCTTTCCAAGGTGTTCCAGGTTCTGACTGGAGGAAGGTTTTCATATACATTTTACTACTTTTTTTTAAATCTCTGACACTGCTATAACAGAGAAAGGGCAAATAGCAATATTAAAATATTTCCTGTAATTAATCCTCTTTAAATGTGCACAGACTTTGTGCACCAGGCCAGTAGTATAGTATAACAACAGTAGAAATGGAGACTCTTTGAAACAGAGTTGGACCATCCATCACAGCTGAATGTTTTGCCCGTCTTCCCTTCACACCCATGTGCGGTGGGAGGGCAGATGCCCTGTAGAGGGGGTCACAGCCCCCGTGTGTTCTATAGTGGACCCTCTGCCCCAGAGCCGGTTCCCACAGTCCCACTGAGGACTGGGCATGTGTCCCACGGGGCTCAGCAGTGAGGACAGAGTCAGGGACCGAACCCCAAGCTGAGATCATGTCAAGGTTGGGCGAAGCCTCAGACGCTGGAGAGAGACCAGACAGCTCCTCCACGGGGCCTCCCTGGGAGCACGGGGCTGCCAGCACCTTGACCTCAGACTTGCACCCAAACCCTGAGAGGGACCCTCTTGCTGGTTCTGAGGGGCTCAGTCCGTGGGCCTTGGTGGCAGCGTCTCCAAGACACAGCCTGTCAGGACAGCCCATCCTGCTCAGCGTGGGGTGAGCTGAGCCCAGCACCGGGGCCCAGGGGCTGGGCAGTCCCTGGAGGAACCACATGTGCAGGGACAGCGCCTCCTCTGGCCGAGGGCGGGAGGGAGGAGGCCTGGGCAGCAAGAGGGCCGGGCCGGTCTTGGGGACCCTCCTGGAGCTGGGGCACGTGCTTCAGGCTTCACCAGTAACAGTGAAGCCCATCCCACTGATGATGGTTATATAATGAATTCCTCACTCAGGCAGATCTCCATGGAAACCTGAAAGTTCGCCCATGGCATGAAATGTTTGATGAATGGCCCTCCTCCGAATGCGACCCTGAGGGCATTTCTGGAACCTTCCTCTCTCCCTCAGGGACCTGCTCAGCCCCAGGAGCTCCTCCCCCTGAGCAGCGCCCTCCCCTGTGGCCTGCACAGAGGCTCCCTGGGTGTTTCTTGTGCAGCATCGTCCCCGGGAGAGAAACCCCGTTCCTGTGTCGCTGGTGAGTGTGGGAGCCCCGCACACAGGCGCTCACCCGAGAGCGCCCGCTCCCGCGATCAAAAACAGACTCAGGCCGCGGGGTCTGGGCTCAGACCCTGGGGCGGGAGGAGGGACAGAGACCTGGGAGCCCTCAGCCAGCTGGGCTCTCAGGGCTTTGGGGCAGGGGAGGGGGGGGGGGGTGTCCTCCCGCCAGCAGGGGGCGCTGTGAGACTGCAGGTGATCAGCTCACAGCTGTTCCCTGAAACCTTCCCACACAGGCCCCTGCACTGTGGGCTCCCTGCTGTCCTTGGGGGCCTGGCAGCGCCCCCTGAGCAGGCACCTGTGTGGGGTCTCAGCAGGTGGTTCCTCCCAGGGCCCCCCAAGGGCTGAGCCCACCTCCATGCCCCTCAGTCTGGGGTGTGAGCTGAGCTGCAGCCCCAGGGCCCAGGGAGGGGCTGGGCAGTCTCTGGAGGGACCCCCATTTGCATGGCAGCCCCTCCCCTGGCAGAGGGCGGGGGAGAAAAGGAGGCCTGGGCAGCCCAGCCCCACTGTGGGCTCAGGGCTGTGAGCACCATGGCCTGGACTCCTCTGCTCCTGGCGCTCCTCTCTCTCTGCACAGGTAGGGCCAGGCCTGGGCCCAGGCTCCTTCCCTTCCTGCTCTGTCTCCTGGGGACCTGCCCCTAGTCCCTGCCCCTCACTGACAAGTGTCTGTGTCTGCAGGGTCCCTCTCCCAGCCTGTGCTGACCCAGCCGCCCTCCCTCTCTGCATCTCCGGGAGCCACAGTTACACTCACCTGCACCCTGAGCAGCGGCTCCAATGTAGGTGGATACTGGTTTAACTGGCAGCAGCAGAAGCCAGGGAGCCGTCCCCGGTATCTCCTGAACTACTACTCAGACTCAGATAAGCACCAGGGCTCCGGGGTCCCCAGCCGCTTCTCTGGATCCAAAGACGCCTCGGCCAATGCGGGGCTCCTGACCATCTCGGGGCTGCAGCCCGAGGACGAGGCTGACTATTACTGTAACACATGGGACAGCAGCTCTAAGACTCACACAGTGGTCCAGACCCACAGGGAAGTGAGACAAAAACCTCCTTTCTGCTCTCCTGGCCTGGCCTTGGCCCCAGCTGGCGGCTCTGCCAGTTCTGGCTCAGCCCTTACTGTGCTCGTCGGTGTCCATCCAGCACCAGGTTCTCCTTGGACCCGTGGTCCTGACAGTGTCCCAGCTGTGACGTCAGGTCAGCGTTCCTATGGATGACTGGCTCAGGTCCCGTTTGCCATGCTCCCTTCCTCACAGTGACATTCCTCAGGGATAACGATTCTTATGGAGACAGGTGAGGAGGTGGAATAAGACCCATTAAGACCCTGCTGTGCACACGGGTCCCTGCATGTCCCTCCTCCTCCTCCTCCTCCTCCTCCTCCAGGGACCTGGGCCCAGGACACACAGCAAGGCCTCTGCCCTGGCATAGGCAACAGCACTGGGTGGAAGGCGGCATTTGGATCCCTCAACTCCGGTGACATCTCACCAGCCCTCTGCACCCAGTGACACAGCCACACCCTCAGGACATGGGTCCTCAGCCCGGCCGGTGTGGCTCAAGGATTGAGCATCGCCCTACGAACCAGGAGGTCAGGGGTGTATTCCGGGTCAGGGCACAGGCCCAGGTTTTGGGCTTGATCCCAGTAGGGGGTGTGCAAAGTCAGCCCCTCAATGATCCTCTCTCATCATTGATGCTTCTGTCTCTCTCTGCCTCTTCCTTCCTCTCTCACATCAATAAAAATGTATTTAAAACAGAAAGGAACGTTGGTTCCATTTGGAGTCCATGTCCACAGCCGAGGCCTTGGTCACACTGGAGGACCAGGCTGAGCATCGCTGACCAGCCCACCCCCGGCCCCACCTCCTCTCAGCACAGCCCTGGGGTGAGGCCCCTCCCGGGCTCCCAGTCTCTCCGGGAGGAGCTGCCTCCAGGTGGAATCTTCATGATCATCATCATCGTCATCGTCACAGCTCAGAGTGCTCCTTTAGGGAGCACAAGAGAAGGGGGCTGGGAGAACATCTCGCTGTCCTCCCACCCGCACCCCCGGGTCAGCGGGAGGTCACAGGTGCTGGCAGCTTCCCCGGGGACAGCACAGACAGAAGGAGCTCAGCTGAGTCCCTGCAGGAGGGAAGGTCCCTGTTCTCACCCCAAGGTCAGGGGCGCCCCCTGCAGCCTCGGGCAGGAGGGCCTGTGGGACACTGTGGTGGGTGCAGGCCCCGCTCTGAGGCAGGTCCATCCTGGAACCGGAAGGAAGGTCTTCAGGGGCTTCCCCAGCGTTTTCTCCAGGGGCCTGGGCAGGAAGGCTGTTGCTGAGGTCTAACCCTATCCCATCACTATGTTCTTAAAGGGCCAGACTAATGATCACACAAAATGCCCCCAAACAGGCATGGATGGTTTCCCGTGTGGCTTTCCCCTCCATGGATCTGCCCATGTTCCACTCTCACAGGCACTCAATGTCCTCAGCTCTGTGTGTGGCCATTGAATGGGGACCAGGAGAGATTGCTCTCCCCAAAGCCACGCCCACCTGTAGCCACGCCCACCGCATCCCAAAGGCCCCCGCCCAGAGGCCATGGCATTGCCAGCCAACACCCCCTTCCTCAGAGGGAGGGGCCATCCACAGAGACAGGCTCAGGGAGTGACATGCCTTTCAGGAGCCGCTCCATCTGTGAACGGGGATGGGGCCCAGGCTGTGTCCTAGCTCCTGTCCCTTCTCTGCCCCCAGCCCCTGAGGACCCTCAGCACCCTGACCTCTCCCGGGAGGGCTGGGTCACAGCTCACTCTTCATGGACGCGGGAGGCAGCATTTCCAACTGTTCCCAGAACATCAGCTCTCAGCGACGTCAATGCGGGCACCTGCCACGGCTGTGCCAGGATGAGACTCTCCCAGTGAGTGCCAGTGTCTGTGCCATCAGACCAGGATGTGGGAACAGGGATAGGGACCTGAGGAGCTGCAGACCCCAGCTGGGCCTCAGAGCTTTGGACAAGGGAGATGTAGTGTGTCCTCTGGCCAGCAGGGGGCAATGTGGGATCGCTCTGTTGTCCCAACACAGCTGCTCACTGAGGACTTTGCACTCACAGGAGCCTGGGTCTGGGGGCTGGGCCCTGTGCGCCCTGATGGAGAGCAGCTATGTCTGTGATGGCAGCGCCCCCTGAGCAATAGCCTCTGTGTGGTCACAGCAGGTGCTTCCTCCCAGGGTCCCCCAAGGCCTAAGCCCACCTCCATGCCCCTCAGTCTGGGGTGTGAGCTGAGGTGCAGCCCCAAAGCCCAGGGAGGGGCTGGGCAGTCCCTGGAGGGACCCCTATTTGCATGGCAGCCCCTCCCCTGGCAGAGGGCGGGGGAGAAAAGGAGGCCTGGGCAGCCCAGCCCCACTGTGGGTTCAGGGCTGTGAGCACCATGGCCTGGACTCCTCTGCTCCTGGCGCTCCTCTCTCACTGCACAGGTAGGGCCAGGCCTGGGCCCAGGCTCCTTCCCTTTCTGCTCAGTCTCCTAGGCACCTGCCCCTGGTCCCTGCCCCTCACTGACAAGTGTCTGTGTCTGCAGGGTCCCTCTCCCAGCCTGTGCTGACCCAGCCGCCCTCCCTCTCTGCATCTCCGGGAGCCACAGCCAGACTCACCTGCACCCTGAGTGGTATTTCCTATTCGCTTAGTGATTACTGGATAAGCTGGTACCAGCAGAAGCCAGGGAGCCGTCCCAGGTATCTCCTGGAATATAAATCAGACTCAGATAAGGTCCAGGGCTCCGGGGTCCCCAGCCGCTTCTCTGGATCCAAAGACGCCTCGGCCAATGCGGGGCTCCTGACCATCTCGGGGCTGCAGGCTGAGGACGAGGCGGACTATTACTGTTTGACCAGGGAGAATAATGCTTCTCACAGTGACACAGGCAGATAGGGAAGTGGGACAAAAACGTCCACCTCCCAGGAGTCAGGGTTCCTAACAGTTAAACCTGTTGCAAAACATCCATGTCAAAGTATATGTGTAAGACAGAGAGACAGAGAGAGAAAGAGAGAGAGAGAGAGTTTAACATCAATGATGAGAATGAATCATTGACCGGCTGCCTCCTGCAGGCCCCACACTGGGGATTGAGCTTGAAACCTGGGCATGTGCTCTGACCAGGAATCAAACCATGACCTCCTGGTTTCCAGGTCAATGACCAACCACCAGGCCCCAAGACCGGCCCACAGGGCCTCTGTGACCACCCAGGTCTCCAGGCTGTCACGTGACTTAATAAACCTGCTGCCACCAGGAGCCGCCAGGCCAGGGCAGCTGGGGGAGCACCTGCCTCCTCTCCTGCAGGGCCACGGGGCTCCCTGTCCCTGTGATGTGAACCAGGGGACCCCGCTCTCCCCGTTGTCTGTCTCCATGGGCTCAACACCCCTCCCCCTCTCTTCCTGGTTTCCTAATGCCACGGGGTCACCCTGTCCCCGCTTTCCAAACCGTGACTCAGCACTCCTGGGCGGCACGACACTGACCACCCCGTCCCCCCTCTGTGACAGGGTCCCCCAGGGCCGCCTGCTCCCAGCTCAGAACCGAGGGACACGGACGCTCTCTGTCCCTGCCCCACTCGGGGAAGGATGTGTGTGAGATTTAAAGCAGGGTTTCCATAGCTTCTCCTCATCCTATTCCACACGCCATTCCCCGAGTCCAAGTCACTGAGCTAATTTCTTTCTAAGAAATAAAAATGCAGCTCAGTGCACACCCACAGTGATATCAATTCCACTCCCTGAGCCCGGGTGCCCCCCTGAGGTGAGCTGACCCGGCAGGGGCTTGTCCACACCCACGGGAAGGGCACCAGCTGGGTTCCGGTTCAGGGTTCGGGTTCTGGAGAAGGATGCACACAAAGGAAAAGAGAGTCTAGAACAGATTTAATTTGGGAAATGGGGGCCAGGCGGGACCCCACCTTTAGGGAGAGAGGTACTCCTCACTCTGGCTTTTCCATCCCTTTCATTAAGATTAAAATGATAGGATTCACCGGTATCCCCTGGGCAGCAGACTCCAATCACAGCCAATCAGTGAGTGGAGGACTCACAGGTGGGGCTGCTTCAGCTGCCAAGGTCTAGTCATTAGCTCTGACCCTTCAGAGCGATTGAGGTTGACCAGCCCTCCGACTCCCCGTCCACAGCTCTCTGTGATTAAAACAACGATTGGCTTCAGACAGACATCGCCAGGGACCTCTGAGCTCCCAGGAGCCGGACCTGGGCCCCATCCCTGTGGCCCCATGGCTGGGAGGTAGGTCCGGATCAGAGCAAACAGAGGCGGGAAGGTTCCCTAATGGCCCCCTGGGCCCCCCTCGGCCCCCCCCTCATCACCAGCGCATTTGGGTCTGGAAACCCATCAGGGAAACCCGCAAGGCAGCTCCTGCCTCAGCAGGACCAGCTCTGCCCCTGAGCTCCCCACTGTCCGGGCACATTCAGGTCCAACAAAGGCCACAGCCACTGCCCTCAGGGGCCATGCCCTGAAGCCCAGGTCCCCCAGGAAAGTGAGAAAGCATCACCCACCCCAAGGCCTGGCCCCTGTCCCAGAGGGAGGCCCTGGGAGGCGGGCTCATGGCTGCCATGGAGACGCTGCCCCCTCTCCTTGGAGCCTCTGCCTCCTACCCCTCCCTCAGGGGAGGACAGGCCCAGGGGCCCCGCCTTCGACCTCTGACCCCACCGTGTCCTGTGCATGTCCTTCTGTGTCCATTCCAGGAAGTGCTCTTCCAGGGCACCTGGACTCACCGCTCAGTGTCCCCCTCACAAGGCCCTGATCCCGGTGGTGCCATCCCGCCCGTCCCCTTCCTGTCCAGGATCTGGGATCAGAGTGACTGGGTTGTGACTAAAAAAAATCACATATGCACGTCTCCTCCGGAGATAAAACTGACTGAGTGTGAAGTATTTATGCCATTTCCAAATGAACGAGGAAACCAGTTACTAGGCAAAGCTTGACACAAAAGCATGTATTAACCACAGTATGGATTACCCACGGAGCAAAAGGGGAGGCCCTGGAAAGAATATGTTTTTTTTGAGTTTTGAAGAAAGAGTGACAATATCTCTCATAGGAGAACATAGAAAACAAAATGTCCGCACGATGAGGGACTTGCCTCCTGGGCACACAGGCTGCTCTGGACCTGACCCTGGGAAGCACGTTCCCTGAGTGACAGCAGCTCAGGTCTGACCGTGACCGGCCAGGGAGACGGGCCCCGACTCCCAGGAGGAGGCGGAGTGGAGCAGTGAGTGTCCTCAGGGGACGGGGAGGCCACCTCAGGGGGCACCTGGAGGCTCTGAGCCAGGGGGTCAGTGCCCAGAGCAGGGGGGAGGCAGGACTGTCCCTCCTGGGCCTTAGTGAGCAGGGGACACAGTGGTGCGTCCAGGCCTGGCCACCAGGGGGCGCGCAAGGACCGCTGCTGAAGGGCTGGGCTCATCACAGCTGCAGCCTGTTCCTTGGCCCTGCCTGTGCTCAGGGCTCACAGCTGTGACCTTGCCTGCCTCCGGGTCCCTCACAGCCCCACCCCTGCCCTCACCCTGCCATCCTCAGGCACAGGGATCCACCCAGGGCCCAGGGAGGATCAAATAGATGGGGTCTCATTTGCATAAAAGGGCCCTCCCTCCCACAGAGTCTGAAGAGGGGCAGGGAGAGAGGTGGGGAGCTCTGCTTCAGCTGTGGGACAGGAGGCAGGACTCAGGGATGACCTCCACCATGGCCTGGGCCCCTCTACTCCTCACCCTCCTGGCTCACTGCACAGGTGACTGGATAGGGGACAGGGGAAGGGGCCTTGGGAAGACACATGGGCCCTGCTTCCTCCTCTTGTCTCCAGACCCAGACTCACCCTCTCTGTGTCTCCCCCTCTTCCAGGATCCTGGGCCCAGTCTGTGCTGACTCAGCCGCCCTCCCTCTCTGCCTCTCCGGGAGCCACAGCCAGACTCACCTGCACCCTGAGGAGTGACATCAGTGTTGGCGGCTACAGGATATCCTGGCACCAGCAGAAGCCAGGGAGCCCTCCCCGGTATCTCCTGAACTACTACACAGACTCAGATAAAGGCCAGGGCTCCGGGGTCCCCAGCCGCTTCTCTGGATCCAAAGACGCCTCGGCCAATGCTGGGCTCCTGACCATCTCGGGGCTGCAGCCTGAGGACGAGGCTGACTATTACTGTATGATCGGGTATAGTGGTTCGCACAGTGACATACTCAGATGGGGAAGTGGGACAAAAACCTCCACCTCCTCAGAGTCTTGATTCACAACTGACCCTGTAACATAACATCCCCGTGCAAACTCCACGGGGAAGAACATTCCGGTTCCTAATGGGTCTCTTTCCCCGTTCGCTCCCATGACTCTGCGTCTCAGAAGCACAGAACCAGCACCAACACCCACTGGTCCCCACGTCCCTGAACGGCGACCTGTCATCCGTGGGCCACAGACCAGGGCCCGGGCGATGGCTGTGTCTGACGTGAACTAAGGAAACAGCTGTGTGACCTGTTCCCAGAGCCCAGGCCCCTCCCAGCAGGCGGCCCGTCCCCGGAGCAGGGCCTCTGCGCCCAGAGGTCAGAGCAGGGACCCCTCCCTCCCGGCTCCTGTGCCCCAGGCTCCTGCCCAGCCCTGTGCCCGCTGACCAGGCCCTCAGCTGGGAGGGGCTAGGGGGCCTCAGGCCGGGAGGAGGCCCGGGCACAGGGCTGGCGTCCCCTCTGCTGGGACCCTGACCTTCAGAGTCATCAGGGGGAGGGGCTGTCAGAGGGAAAGGGCGACCTGAGCCCAGGAAATCCTTGGGGGGACTGATGGGTTGGTCCCTGAGGTTTCTGAGTAGGATGACCTGCCAGAGCAAAAGGGACCAAGGTCTGGAGTGTTTGAGGAGAGACATGATGAGGTTAATGAGTTGATGGTTTTATCCGAATTAATTGTGTTAATGGGTTGATGGTTTTATCTAAACTGATGGGGTTAATGGGTTTATCTAAATTGATGTGATTTACAAAGTTGATGGCTTTATCTAAATTGATGGATTTATGTAAATCGGTGGGGTTAATGGGTTGATGGTTTTATCTTAATTGATGGTGTTATGTAAATCGGTGGAGTTAATGAGTTGATGGGTTTAACAATAGGGTTAGGGTTAGGGATCAGGGATTAGGGCCTGGGGCTAGCACAGGGAAAACCCGCTGTGCTCTGGTGTGCAAACTGGGAATGTCTCCCGGGCCAGGCCTGTGTCCCCCCTCCCAGGGCCGCCTGCTTTTGTCCATGCGTCTTTCCTGGAAGGGGCCCTGACCGCTCCCTGGCTCCCGGTCTGCGGCTCTGGGGCTGCGATGACGGCGTGAGGAGTGGGGCGGGGGCGGCCTGGCCGGGAAGACGGAGGTGCTGGCTTCTTGGCCCTCGGCAGTGAGTGTGTCTGCGTTCTGGTCTGAGGACCGAGAGGATCCGGTGACGGTGAGGCCTCCTGGGGCAGGGCCGTGTGGGGGGGGCAGGTCTGCACGGCCAGGCTGGATGCTCCCATGTCCGGGAACAGGGGCTTTTATCAGCCCTTCCCACCCCCAGTTAGGGATGTGAAGGCCTGGGAATGGGCAGCACCGGGTCCACATGGACCCAAAGCCTCCACTGAACCCTTTGCAGGAGGAAAACAACAAAAAACAAAACCCCACAGATTTAGGGTCCAAGCTCCTCACTCACTGGAAAGGGCCCAGCTGGGACCCTGGCCGTGTGGCTCAGCGGGCGGGGGCGCCACCCTGTGCACCAAAAGGCTGCAGGTTTGATTCCTGGTCAGGGCAGCTGCCTAGGTTTCGGGTTTGATCCCCAGATGGGACATATACAGGAAGCAACCAATCGCTGTTTTCTCCTACATCTGTGTTTCTCTCTTTCTCTCTCTCTCCAAAATCCATAAAAACGTACCCTTGGGTGAGGATTAAAATAAACAAATAAATATAAAGGCCAAGCAATGACTTCCCACCCTGACACTTGGGGAGCATTACAAATCAGGACCCCCACTCCCCTTTTCTGCAACCAGAGTCTCACTGGATTTTTCTGGTCTGGGATGGATACTGTTCCTTGTCCTCCAGGTCGCTGTCTGGGCAGCCAAGGCTGAAACTCACAGAGCTAACCGAAGAAAGGTGATCCGTGTCCCCATACCCCACCTCCAGCCCCAGAATGACGACGAGACACCCACACCCCGAGCCTGGTACCCTCCAAGGCCTGGCCTCACCGAGCACAAACCGAAGATGGTTTGGCGTGATGATGGGTTTAACGTGGGAAACTTCCAGGCACAGGAAGTCAGCGGCTGAGCCCTCAACGCCTACAGCTGAGAAGGGTTCTAACGGAGCCTCTCTGTTTCTGTTATTATGTCCTTGAGAGCTCAGGCGCCAAATGACACCGTCAGCACAGACACAGCTATGCACCCATGTCACCTCATGTTGCCAACATGTGTTCTGACCCTCAATCAACCTGTTGTTTTTTGTCATTTGTCCTTGTACAATTTACACAATAAAAACAAACACGGAGCATTTTTAAATTATTCCGTGAGCCGTGAGAATGGCCTTTCCACAGGATCCTCCCGAGACTCGCACCCCTGCCTGGCCCAGGAGGGAGGACCTCACCTGTTGGAAGCTCAGGAGCCAAGGGAGCAGGGGAAGGGGAGGGGCTGGAGGAGCTTAAAGGAAGCGGTAGTTCCCGCTGCGACCAGCAGGGGCCGCTGTGAGACCGTCCATGGGGTTGGCCTGGGCCTGGTCTCTGCCAGGAGGCAGCGGGGCAGGGCCAGGCTTCCTGTGAGGCCTGGGCAGGCGGGTCCTCCTGGGAGGGTGTCTCCCCTGCACGTGGCTGTGTGCCCTCCAGCATCTGCTTCCTGCCAGCCTCCCCCTATACCCCTCACAGGGAAACCAGTGCACCCACCGGCTGCCCTCCCTGCTCAGGGGCCGGAGACCCTGGGGCAGAGGGGGTGGGGGCACATTTGCATGAGCAGCCCCTTTCTGTGCCTGGGGAGGGGATAAGAGGCCTGGACCCCCAGCCCAGCTCTGTGTCCTGGGAACGGGTTGCTCCACCATGGCCTGGACCCCTCTGCTCCTGGCGCTCCTCTCTCTCTGCACAGGTAGGGCCAGGCCTGGGCCCAGGCTCCTTCCCTTCCTGCTTGGTCTCCTGGGAACCTGCCCCTGGTCCCTGCCCCTCACTGACAAGTGTCTGTGTCTGCAGGGTCCCTCTCCCAGCCTGTGCTGACCCAGCCGCCCTCCCTCTCTGCCTCTCCGGGAGCCACAGCCAGACTCACCTGCACCCTGAGGAGTGACATCAGTGTTGGCAGCTACAGGATAGTCTGGCACCAGCAGAAGCCAGGGAGCCGGCCCCGGTATCTCCTGAGCTATTACTCAGACTCCAGTAAGCACCAGGGCTCCGGGGTCCCCAGCCGCTTCTCTGGATCCAAAGACGCCTCGGCCAATGCGGGGCTCCTGACCATCTCGGGGCTGCAGCCTGAGGACGACGCTGACTATTACTGTCTGACCTGGCACAATAATGCTTCTCACAGTGACACACGGAGATGGGGAAGTGGGACAAAAACCTCCACCTCCCCAGAGTCTGGGTTCCTAACAGTTGAATCTGTTGAAAAACATCCATGTGAAAGTATACATGGAAGAGAGAGAGTGAGAGAGAGAGAGAGAGAGAGAGAAAGAGAGAGAGACAGAGAGAGAGAGAAACATCAGTGATGAGAGTCAATAATTGACCGGCTGCCTCCTGCAGGCCCCACACTGGGGATCGAGCTTGAAACCTGGGCATGTGCTCTGACCAAGAATCAAACCATGACCTCTTGGTTCCCAGGTCAATGCCCAACGATTGAGCCACCAGGCCCGGCCCACAGGGCCTCTGTGACCACCCAGGTCTCCAGGCTGTCACGTGACTTAATAAACCCGCTGCCACCAGGAGCTGCCAGGCCAGGGGCAGCTGGGGGAGCACCTGCCTCCTCTCCTGCAGGGCCACGGGGCTCCCTGTCCCTGTGATGTGAACCAGGGGACCCCGCTCTCCCCGTTGTCTGTCTCCATGGGCTCAACACCCCCTCTTCCTTTCCTCCTGGTTTCCTAATGCCACCTGGTCACCCTGTCCCCGCTTTCCAAACCGTGACTCAGCACTCCTGGGCGGCACGACACTGACCACCCCGTCCCCCCTCTGTGACCGGGTCCCCCAGGGCCGCCTGCTCCCAGCTCAGAGCCAAAGGACACAGACGCTCTCTGTCACTGCCCCACTCGGGGGAGGATGTGTGTGAGATTTAAAGCAGGGTTTCCACAGCTTCTCCTAATCTATTCCATACGCCATTCCCTGAGTCCAAGTCACTGAGCTAATTTCTCTCTAAGAAATAAAAATGCAGCTCAGTGCACACCCACAGTGATATCAATTCCACTCCCTGAGCCCGGGGCGCCCTCCTGAGGTGAGCTGACCCGGCAGGGGCTTGTCTCACACCCATGGGAAGGGCACCAGCTGGACCATCACCGTCCCCAGGAAGGCGTCAGCAGCCAGAAGCAGGGGGTCACGTATTCTGGGGCCTCTGGCAGCTGAGCACCCCACCTCTACACCTTGGCCTGCCGCTCAGCAGGAGGGGGCCTGAGGGAAGGAGGAGGACATGGGACCAGCGGCTCCTCATTTTACCCTCATAGGGGCCAGATCCAGAAACAATTCCCCTCATAGGTCAGCACCCAGGAAGTTAAACATGTGAAGGAGGAAAGAGAATGGACGGACACCACCCCTGAGGCGCCCAGAGGAGGGTTCTGGGCGGATAGAATTGGACGGGGGGCAGACTTGCTTCTCAGTCCAAAGAGAAGAGGGGACCCAGGATGGGACAGACTCTGGGCACAGACACAGGGCAGTTATGGACCCAAAACTAAAACAGGGGAACAGGGGACCTCTCTGCAGGGCGTCGGAAGTATAATATTTGCCTCTGCCATCTCTCTAGCTGTCAATCAATCTCTCTACCATCTATCAATCTGTCTACTAACACATATCTCTATCTATCATCTATCTATCTATAATCTATCTATCTATCTATCTATCTATCTATCTATCTATCTATCTATCTATCTATCTATCTATCTATCTATCTATCTATCTATCTATCTATCATCTATCTATCATCTATCTATCATGAATCTATCTATCTATTATGTCTATTTCCAGTGGCTACTATGATTCCTTCTATAGTTCCCACCACCATGACGATTACCCAGGGCGTCACCAGGGGGCGCTGTGGACCTTCTCAGAGCTGCCAGGCCTGCAGCTAAATCTAATGGTTCTAATTGAGTGGGCGCTGCGCCCATGCTCATGGCCTGGGTGTGAGGTGCCAGCAGGTGCTTCCCCTCCAGGGACAGACTCAGAGCCACAGCCTCCCCAGCCTCTTCACCGTGAAGCTCCCCACGGGGCCCAGGACCCAGGACAGGAGGGTCCTATGGGCTCACATTTGCATAATGTGGTCAAACGCCCCTCTACACAGGAGGCCGGGAGAAGGTAAAGGGACACCGAGCCCAGCAGGTGCCAGAGACCAGGGCACCTGGGAAAGTCTCCACCATGAGCTGGACTCCCCTCTTCCTCCTCCTCCTCCTCCTCGCTCTCTGCCCAGGTGCAGGGCCATTTCAGAGACCAGCCTGTGTGTGTGTGTGTGTGTGTGGGGGTCCCTCGGCCTTTATCATTCATTCCTGATTGTGTCTGCTTTTTGTTTCAGGGTCCAGGTCTCAGGCTGTGGTCACTCAGGAGCCCTCAGTGAGCGTGTCCCCAGGCCAGACGGTCACTCTCACCTGCAGCACTAACAGTGGAGAAGTCACCGGCAGTCACTACCCATACTGGGTCCAGGAGAAGCCTGGCCAGGCCCCCAGGACACTCATTTATGACACAAACAACAAGCTCCCCTGGACCCCGGCCCGGTTCTCAGGCGCCATCCAAGGGGGCAGAGCCGCCCTGACCCTGGCAGGGGCGCAGCCTGAGGACGAGGCCGAGTACCACTGTGCTCTGGCCTACAGCAGGCATTCCCACGGTGCCAGGTGCAGGGGGGAAGTGAGGCACAAACACCAGCTCAGGCCCGCCTGCCTCCAGGGCCCCGTCTGCTGTGCACAGGGCTGCGTCCAGCTGGCGTGGCTCTGAGGTTGCTCTCTGAGGCCCCGGACCAGGCAATCGCATCCGTTATTCTTGGCTGTGATCATTGTATGAAAACAAGAGCCAATGTAATCACCAGCCTCACAGGAAACGGGCAGGAGCAGCAAGAGGAAAAGTCACCCTCACCCTCACCCTCACTCACACTCACACCCACACTCACACTCACACACACAGTCAAGTCTGAATTACACTTGAGTAGCATTTAATAATCAAGATAAAAGTTAAGAATCTAGCTGAAACTGGTTTGGCTCAGTGAGTAAAGCATCAGTCGGCGGACTGAAAGGTAACAGGTTTGATTCCGGTCAAGAGCATGTACCTTGGTTGCAGGCACATCCCCAGTGGGGTGTGTGCAGGGGGCAGCTGATCAATGTTTCTCATCAATGTTTCTAACTCTCTATCGCTCTCTCTTCCTCTCTGCAAAAAATCAATATATATATATATATATTAAAAAGTTTAGAATCTAATCTGGAGGGAAAATGCAAATTGACATCACACCTTAATGACCAAGATGGCTGCGCCCACAGCTGAGGCAGGGATTCTGTACCACAAGGTGTTTCTGTCCACAGCCAAGGCTTAATGAGCCTTAATGAGCGATCAGCAGGGACCTGAGGATGCGCTCTCCCCCGCCCCCCCCCCCCCCCCCCCCCGTCTTGGTGAGGCTTGACAAGGGTGTGGCCAGCAGAGTGTCTATCTCGCCCAATGGGGTGGGGCAGGCTGGGGCTGGGTCTCCTGCAATTTTGATACTTGTCTTGGGATCTTTCCAAGGTGTTCCAGGTTCTGACTGGAGGAAGGTTTTCATATACATTTTACTACTTTTTTTTAAATCTCTGACACTGCTATAACAGAGAAAGGGCAAATAGCAATATTAAAATATTTCCTGTAATTAATCCTCTTTAAATGTGCACAGACTTTGTGCACCAGGCCAGTAGTATAGTATAACAACAGTAGAAATGGAGACTCTTTGAAACAGAGTTGGACAATCCATCACAGCTGAATGTTTTGCCCGTCTTCCCTTCACACCTGTGTGCGGTGGGAGGGCAGATGCCCTGTAGAGGGGGTCACAGCCCCCGTGTGTTCTATAGTGGACCCTCTGCCCCAGAGCCGGTTCCCACAGTCCCACTGAGGACTGGGCGAGTGTCCCGTGGGGCTCAGTGTGAGGACAGAGTCAGGGACCGAACCCCAAGCTGAGATCATGTCAAGGTTGGGCGAAGCCTCAGACGCTGGAGAGAGACCAGACAGCTCCTCCACGGGGCCTCCCTGGGAGCACGGGGCTGCCAGCACCTTGACCTCAGACTTGCACCCAAACCCTGAGAGGGATCCTCTCGCTGGTTCTGAGGGGCTCAGTCCGTGGGCCTTGGTGGCAGCGTCTCCAGGACACAGCCTGTCAGGACAGCCCATCCTGCTCAGCGTGGGGTGAGCTGAGCCCAGCACCGGGGCCCAGGGGCTGGACAGTCCCTGGAGGAACCACATGTGCAGGGACAGCGCCTCCTCTGGCCGAGGGCGGGAGGGAGGAGGCCTGGGCAGCAAGAGGGCCGGGCCGGTCTTGGGGACCCTCCTGGAGCTGGGGCACGTGCTTCAGGCTTCACCAGTAACAGTGAAGCCCACCCCACTGATGATGGTTATATAATGAATTCCTCACTCAGGCAGATCTCCATGGAAACCTGAAAGTTCGCCCATGACATGAAATGTTTGATGAATGGCCCTCCTCCGAATGCGACCCTGAGGGCATTTCTGGAACCTTCCTCTCTCCCTCAGGGACCTGCTCAGCCCCAGGAGCTCCTCCCCCTGAGCAGCGCCCTCCCCTGTGGCCTGCACAGAGGCTCCCTGGGTGTTTCTTGTGCAGCATCGTCCCCGGGAGAGAAACCCCGTTCCTGTGTCGCTGGTGAGTGTGGGAGCCCCGCACACAGACGCTCACCTGAGAGCGCCCGCTCCCGCGATCAACACAGACTCAGGCCGCGGGGTCTGGGCTCAGACCCTGGGGCGGGAGGAGGGACAGAGACCTGGGAGCCCTCAGCCAGCTGGGCTCTCAGGGCTTTGGGGCAGGGGAGGGGGGGGGGGTGTCCTCCCGCCAGCAGGGGGCGCTGTGAGACTGCAGGTGATCAGCTCACAGCTGTTCCCTGAAACCTTCCCACACAGGGGCCTGCACTGTGGGCTCCCTGCTGTCCTTGGGGGCCTGGCAGCGCCCCCTGAGCAGGCACCTGTGTGGGGTCTCAGCAGGTGGTTCCTCCCAGGGCCCCCCAAGGGCTGAGCCCACCTCCATGCCCCTCAGTCTGGGGTGTGAGCTGAGCTGCAGCCCCAGGGCCCAGGGAGGGGCTGGGCAGTCTCTGGAGGGACCCCCATTTGCATGGCAGCCCCTCCCCTGGCAGAGGGCGGGGGAGAAAAGGAGGCCTGGGCAGCCCAGCCCCACTGTGGGCTCAGGGCTGTGAGCACCATGGCCTGGACTCCTCTGCTCCTGGCGCTCCTCTCTCTCTGCACAGGTAGGGCCAGGCCTGGGCCCAGGCTCCTTCCCTTCCTGCTCTGTCTCCTGGGGACCTGCCCCTGGTCCCTGCCCCTCACTGACAAGTGTCTGTGTCTGCAGGGTCCCTCTCCCAGCCTGTGCTGACCCAGCCGCCCTCCCTCTCTGCCTCTCCGGGAGCCACAGCCAGACTCACCTGAACCCTGAGCAGCGGCTTCAGTGTTGGCAGCTATACCATATACTGGTTCCAGCAGAAGCCAGGAAGTCCTCCACGGTTTCTCCTATACTATGACTCAGACTCCAATAAGCACCAGGGCTCCGGGGTCCCCAGCCGCTTCTCTGGATCCAAAGATGCCTCGGCCAATGCGGGGCTCCTCACCATCTCGGGGCTGCATCCCGAGGACGAGGCTCACTATCACTGTGCGATCTGGCACAGCAGTGCTTCCCACAGTGACACACTCACATGGGGAAGTGGGACAAAAACCTCCACCTCCTCAGAGACTTGATTCACAACTGACCTGTTAACATAACATCCAGGTGCAAAATAAAAGGGAAGAACCTTCTGGTTCCTAATGGGTCTCTTTCCCCGTTTGCTCCCATGTCTCTGCGTCTCAGAAGCATAGAACCAGCACCAACACCCACTGGTCCCCACGTCCCTGAAAGGCGGCCTGTCATCCATGGGCCACAGACCAGGTCCCGGGCGATGGCTGTGTCTGACGTGAACTAAGGAAACAGCTGTGTGACCTGTTCCCAGAGCCCAGGCCCCTCCCAGCAGGCAGCCCGTCCCTGGAGCAGGGCCTCCGCGCCCAGAGGTCAGAGCAGGGACCCCTTCCTCCCGGCTCCAGTGCCCGAGGCTCCTGCCCAGCCCTGTGCCCGCTGAGCAGGCCCTCAGCTGGGAGGGGCTGGGGGGCCTCAGGCCCAGGAGGAGGCCCAGGCACAGGGCTGGCGTCACCTCTGCTGGGACCCTGACCTTCAGAGCCATCAGGGGGAAGGACTGTCAGAGAGGGAAGGGGGTCTGAGCCCTGGAAATCCTTGTGGGGGCGGACGGGGGGCCCCTGAGGGTTCTGGGCAAGAGACGACCTGCCAGAGCAGAAGGGACTGGGCTCTGGTGTGTCGGAGGATAGACGTTATGGGATTAAGGAGTTGATGGTTTTATCTAAATTGATTAGATTAACGAAGTTGATGTGTTTATCTAAATTGATGGGTTTGTGTAAATTGATGGGGTTAATGAGTTGATGGGTTTATCAGGATCATGTGTTTATCGTTAGCATTAGGGTTAGAGTTAGGGATTAGGGATTAGGGGCTAGGAGCTAGGGGCTACTGCTAGGATGAAGAAAACCCGTTGTGCTCTGGTGTGCAAACTCGTAATGTCTCCCGGGCCAGGCCGGTGTCCGCAATCCGAGGGCCACATCCTGCGGCTCCCCTCTCTTGTCGATACGTTTTTCCTGGAATCGGCCATGACCGCTCATTTGCTCATGGTCTGTGGCTTTGGGTGCCTGGGTCCTCTAGTTTATATATGAAAGGCCCCATGACCATCCATCCTGCTGGTGCTTATGATGTGCACTGACCTCCAGGGGGCAGATGCTCAAGGCAGGAATTGCCTTCTGGTGGTCAGTTTGCTCCCACCAGGGGAGCAAAGCTCAGCCAGAAGGTCAGCTGTGGCAGTGACTCTCCCTCCTCCTCAGAAGCACTAAGGAGCAGCGAGTGATGTGTCCCGGACTGTAAGAGGAATGTCTGACGTAGGCCCAGGGGATTGGGTCCTGGGCTGGGAGAGGGCCCAGGCAAGGCTGAGGGACCCTCCCTCCCCTGATGCAGGAATTTCGTGCACGGGGCCCCTGGTATGATCATATTTACTGATGTGTTATTATGTTGTGTTACATTTAAAATTTTGTTAATATGAATAAAACTTGGATCATTGGGATAAATCACACGTCATAATAGTGCAGGACCATCCGCTCCTATTTCATTTTAAACATTTGTGGGAATATTTTAAGCTATTGGTCCATTTCCCCCCATTTTGTATAATTTATGTGTAAGCTGTGTTCATCAATATGAAAAAAAAACTCTATGACATCCTATGTACTTTTAAATGTTATTGAAAAATCTGTGCCCGTTAAATTGGAGCCATCTGATCTCAGAGGGTTTGGCAGAGTTCCCTGTGAAACGCCTGCATCTTATGCTCCTCACTGGAGTGGTTCATTACATTTTCTATTTTTCCTACTAATATTTGGCCTTTTAATCACTTTACTTCTTTCAGAGCCAATTCTGTATCTTCCGAGGAGAGTGTACATTTTATCTGTTTTCACTAGAGGTTCTCGCTCAATGTTTATAGTGTAGAACTGCTGTCCCACGTGTTACAGTTCTACTGACCAGGAGGGGGCACTGCTGGGCGGCCCTGGGATTCTTGCAGAGCTGCTCAGGGAAGACTGTGCCCTCAGAATGCCTGGGCCTCCAGCTGGGCCCTGTGCTCACTGAGGAGACTGAGCAGCTGGGTCCGCTCTGGATGGCAGCGCCTCCTGAGCGGGGGACCCTTGTGTGGTCTCAGCAGGTGGTTCCTCCCAGGGCCCCCAAGGGCTGAGCCCACCTCCATGCCCCTCAGTCTGGGGTGTGAGCTGAGCTGCAGCCCCAGGGCCCAGGGAGGGGCTGGGCAGTGTGGAGGGACCCCCATTTGCATGGCAGCCCCTCCCCTGGCAGAGGGCGGGGGAGAAAAGGAGGCCTGGGCAGCCCAGCCCCACTGTGGGCTCAGGGCTATGAGCACCATGGCCTGGACTCCTCTGCTCCTGGCGCTCCTCTCTCACTGCACAGGTAGGGCCAGTCCTGGGCCCAGGCTCCTTCCCTTCCTGCTCGGTCTCCTGGGAACCTGCCCCTGGTCCCTGCCCCTCACTGACCAGTGTCTGTGTCTGCAGGGTCCCTGTCCCAGCCTGTGCTGACCCAGCTGCCCTCCCTCTCTGCCTCTCCGGGAGCCACAGCTAGACTCACCTGCACCCTGAGTGGTATTTCCTATCCATTTAGTAATTACTGGATATACTGGTACCAGCAGAAGTCAGGGAGCCGTCCCCGGTATCTCCTGGCATATCAATCAGACTCCGGTAAGCACCAGGGCTCCGGGGTCCCCAGCCGCTTTGCTGGATCCAAAGACGCCTCGGCCAATGCGGGGCTCCTGACCATCTCGGGGCTGCAGGCTGAGGACGAGGCCGACTATTACTGTCTGATTGGGGAAAATACTGATTCTTACAGTGACACACAAAGATGGGGAAGTGGGACAAAAACCTCCACCTCCCCCGAGTCTGGGTTCCTAACAACTGAACCTGTTGAAAAACATCTTTTTGCAAAGTAGACATGGAAGAGAGAGGGAGAGAAGGAGAGGGAGAGGGACAGAGAGAGAGAGAGAGAGGGAAACATCAATGATGAGAGCGAATCATTGACCGGCTGCCTCCTGCTGGCCCCACACTGGGGATTGAGCTTGAAACCCGGACATGCGCTCTGACTGGGAATTGATCCATGACCTTTTCATTCCCAGGTCAATGCCCAACCACTGAGCACCAGATCCGGCCCACAGACTGTGTCCATGACCAGGAGGAACACGAACATATCACATGTCCAGGCTGTCAAGTGACTTAATAAACCCGCTGCCACCAGGAGCCTCCAGGCCATACGTAGCTTAGGGAGCACCTGCCTCCTCTCCTGCAGGGCCACGGGGCTCCCTGTCCCTGTGATGTGAACCAGGGGACCCCGCTCTCCCTGTTGCCTGTTTCCATGGGCTCAACACCCCTCCCCCTCTCTTCCTGGTTTCCTAATGCCACCTGGTCACCCTGTGCCCGCTTTCCAAACCGTGACTCAGCACTCCTGGGCGGCACAACACTGACCAACCCGTCCCCCCTCTGTGACCGGGTCCCCCAGGGCCGCCTGCTCCCAGCTCAGAACCAAGAGACACTGACACTCTTTGTCACTGCCCCACTCGGGGAAGGATGTGTGTGAGATTTAAAGCAGGGTTTCCACAGCTTCTCCTCATCCTATTCCACACGCCATTTCCCGAGTCCAAGTCACTGAGCTAATTTCTCTCTAAGAAATAAAAATGCAGCTCAGTGCACACCCACAGTGATATCAATTCCACTCCCTGAGCCCGGGCGCCCCCCTGAGGTGAGCTGACCCAGCAGGGGCTTGTCCACACCCACGGGAAGGGCACCAGCTGGGTTCCGGTTCAGGGTTCAGGTTCTGGAGAAGGACGCACACAAAGGAAAAGAGAGTCTAGAACAGATTTAATTTGGGAAATGGGGGCCAGGCAGGAGCCCACCTTTAGGGAGAGAGGTACTCCTCACTCTGGCTTTTCCATCCCTTTTATTAAGATTAAAATGATAGGATCCACTCGTATTCCCTGGGCAGGAGACTCCAATCACAGCCAATCAGTGCGTGTAGGACACACAGGTGGGGCTGCTTCAGCTGCCAATGTGCAGCCATTAGCTCTGACCCTTCAGAGCGATTGAGGTTGACCAGCCCTCCGACTCCCCGTCCACAGCTCTCTGTGATTAAAACGACGATCGGCTTTAGGCAGACATCGCCAGGGACCTCTGAGCTCCCAGGAGCCGGACCTGGGCTCCGATGAACCACCTATAAAAATAAAACCGTGTCATGACAATAAGGGACTCGACACCTGGGCACAGAGGCTGCTCTGGACCTGACCCTGGGAAGCACGTTCCCTGAGTGACAGCAGCTCAGGTCTGACCGTGACCGGCCAGGGAGACGGGCCCCGACTCCCAGGAGGAGGCGGAGTGGAGCAGAGAGTGTCCTGAGGGGACGGGGAGGCCACCTCAGGGGGCACCTGGATGCCCTGAGCCAGGGGGTCAGTGCCCAGAGCAGGGGGGAGGCAGGACTGTCCCTCCTGGGCCTTAGTCAGCAGGGGACACAGTGGTGCGTCCAGGCCTGGCCACCAGGAGGCGCGCAGGGACCGCTGCTGAAGGGCTGGGCTCATCACAGCTGCAGCCTGTTCCCTGGTCCTGCCTGGTGCCCTGTGCTCAGGGCACACAGCTGTGACCTTGCCAGCCCCCTGGGCCCCACTCAGCCCCACCCCTGCCCTCACCCTGCCATCCTCATGCACAGGGTCCCACCCAGGGCCCAGGGAGGATCAAATAGATGGGGTCTCATTTGCATAAAAGGGCCCTCCCTCCCGCTGACTATGAAGAGGGGCAGGGAGAGAGGTGGGGAGCTCTGCTTCAGCTGTGGGACAGGAGGCAGGACTCAGGGATGACCTCCACCATGGCCTGGGCCCCTCTCCTCCTCATCCTCCTGGCTCACTGCACAGGTGACTGGATAGAGGACAGGGGAAGGGGCCTTGGGAAGACACATGGGACCAGCTTCCTCCTCTTGTCTCCAGACCCAACCTCACCCTCTCTGTGTCTCCCCCTCTTCCAGGATCCCGGGCCCAGTCTGTGCTGACTCAGCCGGCCTCAGTGTCGGGGTCCCCGGGCCAGAGGGTCACCATCTCCTGCACTGGAAGCAGCTCCAACATTGGGGGTTACTATGTGTCCTGGTACCAGCAGCTCCCAGGAAAGGCCCCCAAACTCATCATCTATTATGATAGCGATAGAGCCTCAGGGGTCCCGGACCGATTCTCTGGCTCCAAGTCTGGCAGCTCAGGCACCCTGACTATCACGGGGCTGCAGGCTGAGGACGAGGCCATTTATCACTGTCAGTCCTATGATGACACTCTGGATGCTCCCACAGTGCCCCAGGCCTTTGGGGAAGTGAGACAAAAACCTTCTGTGCCGCTGCAGTGGGTGTGGGGCAGCCCCATCCTCTGATCAGGTGGCTGTGCCTTTGGGGGGCGGCCGGAAACCGGTGTCTGAGCCCCCCCTCCCAGGGGACTGTGTCTGCAATTCTGTCTCCCCCTGTGCCCCTGCCTGCCAGGCCACCCATGGCAGCAGCACACATGTGCATGTCTCAGCCTGAGCAGACCGTCCTGGGCCTCAGGGGGCGGTTGCCTGGGCGGCCAGGACGGGGAGGGCAGACCCGGGGCCCCGTGTTCGGCTGTGCCTGGTCAGAGCCCCTCAGGGTGGCCCCGTGTGTGCTGGGACCCGGGGCTCCCACACAGCCTGGCCCCATCCGGCCGGAGAACTGATGTCCTCGTGTCTCTGACCCGCTCCCCGGGGCACATCTGGCAGCTCGGGCTCTGGGAGCCCCACTGGGGGGCACTGAGGCCCCGGCTGCCTGTCCCCCTCTGTGCCCGCAGCCCCATTGCCACCCCGAGCCCGTCCTGCGGGGCTGAGACCACAGGGAGCCCTGCTCACCTGCCAGGAGGGGGCCCAGCTCCTGCCTCAGGCTCAGCCTGTGGCCTCTGCTTCTGCTGCTCCTGCCCCTCCACCCCCCGCAGGCCCGGACCCGGGGCAGCCCCTGAGCATGAGGGGCCTCCTCCCTCCCCCCTCAGGGGCCTCCCAGCGGCCTCTTCCTGGACACAGGCTGACCCCATCCAGAGCCCCTCCCATCAGCGGGGACCCTGAGCCTCTTTGCCCTGTAGCCCCGGGTCTGGGCTGGGGACCATGTGGGGTCACATCAGGCCTGAACCCCGACGAGGGGGCCTGCGTCTCAATCAGGGTCACTGACTCCTGTCCAGGCCCCCCCCCTCAGCTGTGCCCCCTCCTCCCGGACGCTCAGCAGGAGCAGCTGAGGCCTCTGCCTCCCTGCTGGGAGCTCCTGCTGCTCTCCCGGACCCTGAGCCAGGAGGGGGAGGCCCCTGTGTCTGCGCCTGGGCTCTGGGGGCCCCCTCCTCCCGCCTCAGGGGCTCCGGTGCTGCTGGGGGACACGTCCTCCGTGTGGGGGGCAGTGTCCGTCCCCCCGTCTGCCAGCTCCTCCCCACCCCCCGTCCAGCTTCTGCCTGAGAGGAGGTCACGTGCACGAAGCACAGGCAGGGCATGTGTAACAACGTACGCACATGTGAGGACACGGAGGACTACATAGTACACGGAGAGCAGAACATACAGGTGTCGGCATACAAAGGCGTTTCCTAAAAATTACAAATCCACGTGGTACAGGCTTCCGAGTATCTGTGAAGCCCGGTCCACGGATGATGGTTTTACAATGAATCCCCGACTCAGATCTCCATGGAAACCTGAAGGTCCGCCCATGGTGGGAAATGTTTGCTGAATGTTCCTCCTCTGAATGGGACCCTGAGGGCATTTCTGGAACCTTCCTCTCTCCCTCAGGGACCTGCTCAGCCCCAGGAGCTCCTCCCCTGAGCAGCGCCCTCCCCTGTGGCCTGCACAGAGGCTGCCTGGGTGTTTCTTGGGCAGCATTGTCCCCGGGAGAGAAACCCCGTTCCTGTGTCGCTGGTGAGTGTGGGAGCCCCGCACACAGACGCTCACCTGAGAGCGCCCGCTCCCGCGATCAAAAACAGGCTCAGGCGGCGGGGTCTGGGCTCAGACCCTGGGGCGGGAGGAGGGACAGAGACCTGGGAGCCCTCAGCCAGCTGGGCGCTCAGGGCTTTGGGGCAGGGGAGGGAGTGTCCTCCCGCCAGCAGGGGGCGATGTGAGACTGCAGGTGATCAGCTTACAGCTGTTCCCTGAGACCTTCCCACACAGGCCCCTGCACTGTGGGCTCCCTGCTGTCATTGGGGGCCCTGCAGCGCCCCCTGAGCAAGCACCTGTGTGTGGTCTCAGCAGGTGCTTCCTCCCAGGGCCCCCCAGGGGCTGAGCCCACCTCCATGCCCCTCAGTCTGGGGTGTGAGCTGAGCTGCAGCCCCAGGGCCCAGGGAGGGGCTGGGCAGTCCCTGGAGGGACCCCCATTTGCATGGCAGCCCCTCCCCTGGCAGAGGGCGGGGAGAAAAGGAGGCCTGGGCAGCCCAGCCCCACTGTGGGCTCAGGGCTGTGAGCACCATGGCCTGGACACCTCTGCTCCTGGCGCTCCTCTCTCTCTGCATAGGTAGGGCCAGGCCTGGGCCCAGGCTCCTTCCCTTCCTGCTTGGTCTCCTGGGAACCTGCCCCTGGTCCCTGCCCCTCACTGACAAGTGTGTGTGTCTGCAGGGTCCCTCTCCCAGCCTGTGCTGACCCAGCCGCCCTCCGTCTCTGCATCTCCGGGAGCCACAGTTACACTCACCTGCACCCTGAGCAGCGGCTCCAATGTAGGTGGATACTGGATATCTTGGCAACAACAGAAGCCAGGGAACCGTCCCCGGTTTCTCCTGAAATATAAATCAGACTCAGAGAAGCACCAGGGCTCCGGGGTCCCCAGCCGCTTCTCTGGATCCAAAGACGCCTCGGCCAATGCGGGGCTCCTGACCATCTCGGGGCTGCAGCCTGAGGACGACGCTGACTATT